GCAGATTCACACAATTAACTATTTGTTCGATATTAGATTATATATAACTAGTATAAACTAAGTGATTATAGAAGGAACTACTATGGTTATCATTTTATTATAAGAAATAAGGGTTTTCTTAAAGGATCTTTTCATCAAATATAAAGGAACTATTACAGTTAACTCCGTGAGTACCGAGTGAATACACAGGGGTTGTATACAACGATGATCTAACAAACAATGGGATGTGTGTCTTCCGCCTCATTTCATGTTCCTTGTTTGGTTGTGGGCTTAGGGCAGATACACACAACCGATTTTTTATTTACTCAGAGTTTTATATAACTTGTATCCATTTAATACTCATAGAAAGGACTGTAGAGTCATTTTTACTTATCTTTCATCAAAAGCAGGAAATATAGGATTTTCTGGAGGAACAGGCAAACTTTTCTAAACAAGAACTTACTACCACTACTACAACTTACTACAACTTTCTACAAACTTTCTTACTACTTACTACATCACTAAAATCTTATGAACTCACCAGCTTAAATGCTGATCTACGCTTTCAAAATAACTTGTATTCTCAGGAGACCAGTAGACAGGTTCGCGCACTGGGATTCAGAAGATGGAGCAGTATAGCTTCATGTCTTTTTGTTATTTGCTATGTATTCTATATTATGTGAATCACATACTTTGTAAACACTTTCTTTCTAATGAAATGGTTGTTTATTACTTTGCTTATTATGATGCATGTCTTGTGATACTAAACATGACGTCCTCCGCCCCAGAACGTTTCCGTCATTCCGGTTTTGGTGTGTGACAATATTGAACTCACCGTGAAATAATTGAATGATAAAATGGTAGTTTGGGCAGCACTTCATCCCTAAAATGACTTTCTTTGACAAAACCCGGGGATTTTTGTTGAAAACCGGGCTTTGTGCGGGCAGAGTTTCAACTTGAAAAGATTATTTTCTCGGGTTTTTGGAGCGTCGGGACTTGCTTCGGGTGTCGGGGATGTTTCCTATGCTTTGGGGGTGTTAGGGTAAATTAAGAGATGAAAGAGGGTGTGAAAGTGTTAAAATTGTAATCAAAATTCGGAAGGACTAGCTTTCTATTTATAGTACCCGAAGCTCAGCATTACGTTGGGTGTAATTCTCTGGTACGCGGGGTGTACTGCCTCGCAAACCTCTTCGTTGGGCGTAACTTCGTACGATGGGCGTACGAAGTGGATCAGCTCGGACGCGTCAAGGCTACGACACGTGGCACTCATGCGAAGGAGTAGGGAGAGTGACGGAATCCGGATCTCTTACACGAGTATGCTGGGCGTACTTCGGTACGCTGGGCGTACTCCTTCAGACCAGCCTCGAAGTTTGTGCCATAAACTTCAAAAATTCGTATCTTTTGCATACGTGCTCCGTTTTTGACGTTCTTTATATGCGCGCGTAGGTGAAATTAGGCTTTACAACTTTTGTTTAGACTCTATTGGCTAATTTTGACTTCATTTTTAATAATATATTTTTAACGGGCCGGGACAGGAAAAGTCTGTTAAAAATTCATAACTTCTTCATCCGACGTCCGTTTTCGTCTGTCTTTTTACCGTTGTACTACTATTGACGAGATCTTCGATTCTCGTTTAAGTTGTGTTAGCTAAAAATCACCCGATCTTTATTTCGAGTTTCGGGTTGTGTACTGCTATGCCGAATCTTAGAAAATCATAACTTCCTCATACGAAGTTAGATTTGGACGTTCTTTTTATGAAAATTCTCGGTTTAACGAATACTACGAATTTCATTTAGATCACTAAAGATAAAAAGTAGTTTATCGTAAACTCGCTTTTTACGTCATATGGCGGCGTGCCGGTTCTAACTCGAAACTTCAATAAGTCATAACTTCTTTGTTATAACTCGGATTTCGATGAGGTTTTCGCCTAAACGTTTCTAACGAGATAATTTACAACTTTAAATAACATTATTTTTTACTTATTTCCAACTTAAATTTTACATTTTCGTTAATTTCAATATTTGACTTTTTGATTGGAATCTCATAAGACTTCCAATACTTCCCGAATGATTCTAAACATAGTTTTACTTCAATTCTCATAAAACTATCTTATTAAAACTGAATGCTCAAAACCATAAAATATTTAATAATATTCATTTTTAAACTAACAAAACACGATAACTGAACGTGTATGTTACAAATATCTCCTCCTTTTGAGGATTTCGTACCCGAAATCACAACGATTTAAACAAATGGGGATATTTCGTTCTTATCTCATTCTTATTTTCCCAAGTATAATTTGGGCCACGATGGTATTTCCACTTGACAAGCACCAACTCCACTTCTTTATTACGTAATTCAGTCGTTCTTTCGTTTACGATCTCTTCAGGCTCTTCTACATATCTTAATTTATTATCCAGTTTCACCTCGGATAACGGGACCGTTTCATCATATATGCTTAAACATTTACACAGATAACTTATATGAAACACATCATGATTACCTGCCAAATCTTCCGGCAATTCCAAGCGGCATGCTTGCTTACCAATTCTCTGGATGATTTTGAAAGGACCAACAAATCTAGGACTAAATTTCCCTTTCTTCCCAAATCGCATAATGCCTTTCCATGAATTCATCCACCTGGAGTTCTATAGGTCGTCTTCTCTTTACAGCGTATGACTTTGGTTGATCCTGGGCCGCTTTCATTCTTTTTCGTACAATTTGAATCTTGTCAGTGGTGTCTTGAATCATTTCAGGACCACCAAGGACTTTCTGTCCTACAACACACCAACATAATGGAGTACGACATTTACGCCCATATAGTGCTTCATATACCTTCAGTATATTTTATACTATTTGGATTGTTCTCTCCATCTGACCATCTGTTTGGGGATAATAAGCCATGCTAATAGTGACACGAGATCTTAATTCACATTACATATTGGCTCAAGAATGAGAAGTGAAGCTACTATCACGATCGGAATTAATCTTTAGCGGCACACCATGTCTCGCAACAGTTTCATCCAAGTATACTTGTACGTATTTCTCCATTGGAGTTGTTTCACGCATGGCAAGAAAATGTGCACTCTTAGTTAGTCGGTCGACAATTACCCAAATGCTATCATTCTGTCTAGCAATCTTTGGCAATTGGAGCAGCACTAGACATAAAGTCAGTTCAGAATTCTATTTGCCTAACCGGGGGAAATCCAGGCAAATCATCAGGGAAAACATCAGGATATTCATTAACAATGGGAACATCATTTACAGTTTTCTTCCCCTCTTTTGAGATATCAACTGTATAGGCTAGATAAGTAGAATACCCCTTCAATATAAGTTTACGAGTTTTTTGGAAAGAGATTATTTTTAAGATTTTAAGTCTTTGTTTACCGTAGACATAAAATAGAATCCTTCCCTTCGATAGGGATGCGTACCACCTTTTCGTAACTCAAGAGTTATGTGCGGTTCTTTGACAACCAATTTATGCCAAGAATAATTTCAAAGTTGGGCAAAGAGATAGGAATCAGGTTATCAATAAAACTATAACCTTCAATTTCTATGACACAATCTCTATAGACTTTATTAGCAAGTAATGATACACTTCCCACGGTATCTACATGAAATGATTGGGCGAATGTATCACAAGCAATTTGAAAAGAATGCACAATTTCATGAGACACAAAAGAATCTGAAGCATCAGAATCAAATAAGATGTGAGCAGGTCTAGAGTTGACGAGAAATGAACCAGTCACAACATTTGGGTCCTCGTGTGCCTCCTCTATGGTAATCTAAAATGTACGCCCTTTAACTAAACGATTGTCAAACTCTTCAAACTTCTTAATTGATGGTGGTGCTCAAATCTGCACTTGCTCTTCATTCTCTATTGGCCTTTCGGTCCTAATCTCCGAGTTAAAAACTCAATTCTCATTGCAGACTCTTGCTCCTTTTTTAAATTCGATTTATAGACTCAACCCAAGATAAGGTCTTCACTTTTGCTACAAAAACAATTCGAATGGTCATATTCTAATGACCTTTGATTTCATAACGCAACAGACAGACAATGAACTATACTCTTATTTCTATTAGTCAAACACTATCATAAAAGAAACCTTCCTTCATGTTCTAATGTGATATAATATCTTCATAACTAGTAGCATTTCTAGCTAATGATTGCTTAATCCTTTAATGAAGGTTGCTATACTTTTATCGACTTCCTCGACCATCTCCTTCTTCAATCTTCGGACTGAAGTTTCGTCGCTACACAAGACATGGTTCTTTGAACCAATCAATTTACTTCGCAGATATATATTAGTCGGACTCGATTCTTTACGACCACTAAGGTCTGAACAAAAATCATTTTCTTAGTCATCACCGCAACGACGGTAATGACATACTCACTACTAGAAAAATACCCTTTAATGACGCGCAAACCATGACACGCGCTGTTTTACGATACGCAAAAGTGTGTGCCCTAAAAATAATGTTAGATCTCCCAAAATGTGAAGGATTTAGGACGCGCATTTTCGCGTGCCCTAAAATTAGTGTTACAAAAAATTCACAGAGGGCACCTATCATAAAAAGAGTGTCGTGAAATCATGTCGTTTTATATTTTTTTTAATGAAACGCGCACATCTTCATATTTAGTAGCGGGAAAAGGAATTCCCAAAAAATTAGAAAAGTTGAAACCCGCCATGGCGATTTAGGTCTGGTTCCGTCTCCATCTCTCGTTCACTTCCATCTCCACTTTCTCTTCCATCTATAATCTCTCGTCCATCACCCACCTCGCCGACGATGAAGGTTTCTCGTGATTGTTTGTTGTACTTACAAGCCCTGGGTCCGATTTCAACAAAAATCTCATTCGATTAAAACAATTCATAAAACCCTAGAATCGTAAAGGAAACCTAGCCCCCATAGCTTTCTTCACAGTTCACCTACTCAAAGATCCCATCGGTAATAAATCAAATTATTATGCCCCAATTGTTAATCCATCCAAGTGAGTCCAACTTAGGGCAGGATGCGTCAATCCATCCCTCACCAGTGTCTTCACGTGTACATAGGCCCATCACTCGCGTATAATTTTAAAGATATGCGAACGGAAAAGTGAGAGTGGGCGGAGGTGGTGGTGTGGTGCACAAAGGTCTCCAAATGGAGGAGGTGAGCCGTGACCGGTCCGGTGAATGGCAGAGAAGATAGGCCGAGCGTACGCAGGTGAGCAGCAAGGGGGAAATGAGAGAGAGAGCAAGGAGGTTGTCGGTGGTTCGGAGAATACTTACTTAGATCTGGCATCTGAACCTTTAATTTGGCATCTTTGATAATCTGATAATTGAAATGCAAAACCATTGAATGTTAGAGATGAGTTTGTAATCAAGATAATCCATGGCTCAAAATTAATAATCCTCCATTTGTGCAGATCATGAGGTGAAAGAAAGCCCTAAATCATGGACGCAAGACGGAATGTCACCAAATGAGGGTTTATTAGGTACACATTTCTTCTACTTCTGATACTCGTGGCCCTTTCTTTTATCGCCATCTTTAACCACACCCAATTCTAAAACATATCTTCATTCTTACGACCAATTTGGGACACACCACCACCTCCATTTCAGTACATACCCCATTACTACTCAGAAAGTGCCTCCATCAACAACAGATGTAGCAAATTCTGCCTATTTGTACTTGTAAGTTTACTTTCAACAGATGTAGCAAACGAGGGTTAGTGGCCATTATCTTCATCGACACAATCAAAGGTATCTTTTTTAAAAAATATTGAATCTTTATAAAAAGGAATTCTATTTACACCTTTTTTTTATCTGTGTTGATTCAAATTAAAGCAAAAGTGGATTGAAGTTACAGTTGACACACAAGTGGATGTACTTATAGATGCAATCAATCATAAATCCAAGACACTAAATTCCAATAATAAATTGAGTAGAATAATGGTGTTTGCAAATACAGTTGAAGCTGTTGAAGTTGTTGCCCAAGTTTTACATGGAAAAGGCATTGAATGTTATTGTTATCACAGTGAAAGCTCTTTAGAAGAACGCACAAGAAATTTGATTGATTTTAAAGAAAAAGGTGGTGTTTTTGTTTGCACTGATGCTGCTCCACGTGGCACTGAGATTCCCAATGTCTCACATGTTATACAGGTAATCAATTTTTTTTCTTTTTTTTCTGTATTTTAATCCTCATTTTTTATTGTTTTCTATTTGTTTTCAGGCAGAATTTGCTACATCTGCTGTAGATTTCTTACACAGGGTGGGTCGAACAGCTAGAGCTAAATCAACAACAGATTCCCAATTCCTTATTAGTGCCATTTTCTCTCTATTTGTACTTGTTTTTAACCTAAATTAAGTCCTTACTCTTTGTGCTTAATGTTTACAGATACGTGTTTTACTGGTTGGTGGTCTTTGCTTGCAAGTTTACTTTCACCTACTTCCTTCAGGCAAATTATGATGCATGATATACAAGTTTTTTCGTGTGTTTATTTTAGCAGTTGTTCTACAAGATTGTCATTATATTTTGTTAAGTTACTGGCCCATTGTTATGTTGTCTATTCTTAACTTTCCAGATTCGACCATTGGTGGAGCCCACCAATATTATCAAGTACCATCCCAGGCAACAATATTCCTGGCGTGATCTTGTCTCAAAGGGTAAGCGTTGAATCTTCTATACATTTCACTTGGTTTTTGTTTATTTTTAGATCACTTATTGTATCTGATAACAACTTTTCCACTTCTATTTTGTGGATTTGTCAAAGGAGTGCTAATTTTGTGTTTATCCTGTGGCCTTTGCAAATAATAATAATGCTCTTACCTTAGTGAGCATATGGGCCCCTGTAGTGGCTGTGAGTATTTTCATCTCCACTATCAATAAGTTATCTGTTCTTTTGCATAGTTATTGAGTATTGATGATGCTTTTTGTCTGATTACATGTGATGTAGAGATGCCGGATGAATTTAACATAACATGGATTCATAGAGGGGATCCCATACTTAATGTTAGTGATTTATCAATTGAAGCAAGTAGGAACTTAGGTTTGTTGCTTGATCAACTAAGGTATCAAGCTGTGAAGTCACTCAACAATATGGTGGTTACTGTGCTAATCAAGAGGTAATTTTGTCTTCATCAAGAATTTTTCTTCTGGTAAGTTGATTTGGTTTGTTAGTGGAATTTGATTGAGATTTTGTGCATATCATATGCTTGTTGGGGTTATTACAGTTTAGAACAAATTTTGTATTATTCATTTCAATGTTATTACAATGATGATCAGGAGCTATTTCCATGTCTTTCTCTTTGATACTTTTTAATATTCACCAACCAATTACAGTTTTGAACAAATTTTGTTGTATTTATTATAATTAGGCTGAAAAATTAATTGAAATTTTGAAAATTTGAATTAAATTCTAAGACTTTGATAAAGGAGATACAAAGTTAGATACTAAGACTTTGTTATGTTATTTTGATATAATTTAGTGATTCTTCGAGTATTACCCCATATGTTCTTCCATACAGGATAAGAGTTTACAAGACAGAATCCTTAGGGCAGGAAGTACAACAGATAATACTCTTGGTGTGTGATAATTTTGTATTACTCTTTTAAAATTCTCAATACATCAGTTATGCTATCTGTTAACATCTTGTTCTTTATTATCAAGAGAAATTTGAGGAAGGCTGCAGCTCAGGAAGTGGTTGACAAAGTGAGGCAGCACAATGGTCTGTTGGTTGATCAGGTGAAATAATAACTTATTTCATGCATATTTTTTTTAATGCCATTAAAGTTAAATTGTAGGGATAAACGCAAATCACAGCAATGTAATGGTTTGGCTGGTTTTCTTTTCTGATTTGAACAGCCAGACACTCTCCTGCAACTTCAAAAGGAAGATGGCACAGGCAAGGAGTATCCTTTGGGAGCTGCCCTTGAGGCCACCAAAAATACTTTGAATCAAGACAGTATAAAACTCTTATTGGTAGATCATTTTGATTCCACTCTCATACATACCATGTGTATTATTAATTAGTTGATATTGATATTGTACAACTGACATAATTTTTGTGTAGGATTTTCGTGTTGTTTTTAGTCAGGAGTTGGGATGGATATTGAAGCTAAGAGACATGATGATTGGTTGGATACATGAAGGGTTTCAGAGCTTCTTTAGACAGCTTAATGATGAGTTACTGAAACAAGAAGGCGACCCTTTATAGCAATGTAGCATTAGGTTATATAGTTAGGGAAAACCTCTTAATAACAATGTACAATCAAATCCCTTTAATATCAATGTATTACAAGTTTTTGACATGATGTTATTGGATGAAATTGATTTTTTGGTATATATTTTTTTCTATATTTTTGTATTATGCGTAAAAGAGTATCGTAAAGGCACGTCGTATATGCATATTGTAAATGGTTGCTGAAGTTTATGACACACAAATGCGTGTCATCTTCATTTATGACAGGGTCTATAATTATACGCAATGCGTGTCCTAAACGCGTGTCGTAAGGTTACGACACGCAAATGTGTGTCGTCTTCCTTTATGACAGAACTTCCTCGATATGCATTGCATGTCGTAAATGAGCGTCGTAAATGTGTGTCGTAAAAGCGTGTCGTCTCTCGTTATGACAGGGCCTTCCTTGACACGCATTTGCGCATCGTCTGAGCGTTTTACGACACGCATTCCACGTTGTAAAAGGCTGTTTTTCTAGTAGTGACTCGAACAAAAACGGAATCAATTTCTAGCCTCTTGGTAACCTTGTGACTTTCCCTGATCCAAGTTTGAGTCATGTGCTTCCAGTAGTATAGGCCTCTACTACTATTCACACCTACTCATACTCGTCCCAAGTATTGTCTCGCAGTTCCCAAGTCACCATAAAAAAGTTTGCACAAAGCAACTTTTCACACCTGAGTGTGTTCAAACAAGTACATACAACAATTTCTCCTAGACTCAACTAGGAATTTCACGTTTTTATCAAACATATTTTGGATTTCTTAAATTCACCTTCTAGAATTCTTTTTATGCATAAGCTCGATCTAGCATATCCTAATATTTTTCCTAGGTCGATAGGAATTTCACTTCCAAATTCTTCATATAAATTCTTTCTCGGGTAGTGTCTACTTTACAAGACACACTATACCAGAATTTACTCTAGTAGTGTGGAGACAAACGATCTCCAACTATCTGCATCATCTTCTAGCTCATGCAATTCACCATGCACATTTATTCATTTCATTATCCTTTCATGACATCATCATTCCTTTATATGAGAAAATTATCTTCTCATGGGTGTATCTTTTAAGTCTAGGTCATAGGAATCTATCCTAGGAAGTCTGCATTTTAACTACATCTCAGCATGTTCTACTAGCTTTGACTTGGTTCTCTGTCATTCCTAACAGCAATATCTCTTCTCATACAACACTATGAGTGTATATCTTCTTCAACTATATACTCTACCTTACTCTGACTAGTAAGTCATTCAGCCTTTCACAACCATCCTAATCATGTATGTTAAAGTCGGCTTAACACACTATGGAAATTTCATAAGGATGTGACAGAAGTCAATTGTCACTCAGTATTATTAAGTACTAAATCTGAGCATCTTGTATAGGGTTACATATCAGCTCTTACCATACCACTCGAACTGCATACTACATCACAATGTTAGGCAAGGTCTTAGCCTATTGAGTCCGAAAACTTTGTTAGCCTTTCCTTTGATCTTCATTGAATTCTTCTAAATCTTGCATAACATCAATTTCGATATTGTCGAAGTATTTATCACCATCTTCAGTTCTTCTAACTCTGTAAGGAATCACTGCTACAATCTGGTCAGCGGTGGAACAACTTGATGGATTACATCAAAACATTCATCTCTTCTGAATGTACTTTGAACACACAATATTCCTCCAAAGGTGTTATTATTTCATCAAACATAATTTGAATGTACAACACCACTTTATAGGTATTAGTACACTATTTACGGTATCACTTGATAGATTTTATTTTACGATATCCCTTGACTGTTTATTTATGAAGTTATCGATGTCAACTATCGTAAGTCTCCTTATCACCTTGAAAAGTATTATGCCGATGGAATAGAAGAAACAGAAACAGTTCTATCGACACGTGGATGCTTCGGAAGAGAAAGAGTGACATCACGTTTCTCCAAGTCATGCCCGCACTTTCGGGTATTTTATTTATTTTTTAGCACGTATTAGCATATAAGGCATCTCCCTTAAAGTATGCTAGTGCACACTATAGAAAGTGAGGTATTCAACCTAAAGTATACTAGGCACACATCGTACCATCATTACTTAGCAATTCAAGTTTAAGCCTAGAAATCCTTACCATTCCTAGTTCGCTTAAACTAATGCTCTAAAAAATTTTGAAGTAGCTTAGTACTTTAAATTATTAAGATTTATCATCATCCAATACTCCACTTAATTCTTTCCTATGGTTTGTATCCATATACTCCTAATGAATTCGTTCATATATTGAACTTCCGACGGTTTAAGTCTAAATACCAATCCGTGGTATTTAGTTCACTTAAACTACTGCTCTGATACCATGGCTGAAAGACCCCTTTCCTTACTTAACATCATTATTACTCCAAACATGCTACATGCATATTCATAAACATATTTTACATAAATGGTCTTATTACAAAAGACTGGATACAAACCGACTAACGAGGTCTTTACAAAGTTTTATATATTACATAACTTCCCAGGAATTTATACACTAAATACAAAAGCTATAATATTATTTATTCTACATATTCTAACAGTACATAACTATACTTGATGCTTATCACCTGCAATAATTAAACACTGAGAGGGATAAGCGGTGACGCTTAGTGAGTTCAATAACAGTTACAATATAACGTTATGCCATATGTATATCAATATGACAGAAGAAAAGGGGGGCAAAGAACAACAAAGGCAGATGAGTATCATATTACAGGCTTTCCATATCAATGAATAATCTAATTCAAAGATTTACAATCAATGAAATAAAACAATTTCAACATGATATACATCAATAAGACTTCATCCCATGTGGCATAGAAAATAAACGATTTCTGAATTAACATTTTGCAAGCAATTTACAGGCCTTCAGCACTACCTACCCTTCTGCCAATGCCAAAGTTATGCTTAGTCATTCACTTCATGGACAAAGGCTACATACCAGTACCAAAGTGATGCTTAGTCATTTACTTCATGGTCATAGGTATAGCTCCATTATCATCATAACACAGGAAAGCACATTGCACATATAACACATAACATACAATTGTCCCTATATTGAACTCACCGTGAAATAACCGAATGATAAAATGGTAATTTGGTCAGCACTTCATCCCTAAAAATAACTTTCTTTGACGAAACCGGGGATTTTTTTTGAAAACCGGGCTTTGTCCGGGCAGAGTTTCAACTTGAAAAGATTATTTTCTCGGGTTTTTGGAGCGTCGGGACTTGCTTCGGGTGTCGGGGATGTTTCCTAGGCTTCGGGGGGTGTTAGGGTAAATTGAGAGATGAAAGAGGGTGTGAAAGTGTTAAAATTGTAAAAAAAATTCGGAAGGTCTCGCTTTCTATTTATAGTACCCGAATCTCAGCATTACGCTGGGCGTAATTCTCCGGTACGCGGGGCGTACTGCCTTGCAAACCTCTTCGCTGGGCGTAACTTCGTACGCTGGGCGTACAAAGTGGATCAGCTCGGACGTGTCAAGGCTACGACACGTGGCACTCATGGGAAGGAGTAGGGAGGGTGACAGACTCCGGATCTCTTACACGAGTATGTTGGGCGTACTTCGGTATGTTGCGCGTACTCCTTCGGACCAACCTCGAAGTTTGTGCCATAAACTTCAAAAATTCGTATCTTTTGCATACGGGCTCTGTTTTTTACGTTCTTTATATGCACACGTACGCGAAATTATGCTCTACAACTTTCATTTAGACTTCGTCGGCTATTTTTGACTTGATTTTTAATATTTTATTTTTAACGGGTCGGGACAGGAAAAGTCTGTTAAAAATTCATAACTTCTTCATCTGACGCTGTTTTCATCTGTTTTTTTACCGTTGTACTACTATTGACGAGATCTTCGATTCTCGTTTAGGTAGTTTCGGCTAAAAATCACTCGAAAGTCTGTTATGGGTGTGGCGAGGAAGGGCACATTTCGAGGGACTGCCCGAAGAAGAAGGAGGCGGGAAGACCCAACATTCCACCAAAGCCGAAGGCAAGAGCCTTCCAGATGACGCTCGAGGCTGCAATGGAGGCAGCAGACGTCGCTTCAGGTACCTTTCTTGTAAATGGATTGCCTGCCAATATACTATTTGATTCGGGAGCAAACTATTCCTTTGTATCGCATATATTTGGAGGAAAATTAGCATTGCCTATAGAAAAACTTGATAATGCAGTAATTGTGGAAGTTGTCAGTGGCAAGTTCGTACCTGTTAGTGGTCGTATTAAGAACATAGCCATCAACTTAAACGGAAACGAATTCCATGAAGAGTTGTTACCCATAGAATTGAACGGTTTCGACATCATTCTGGGAATGGATTGGCTCAGCGCCAACGATGCCGAGATATTATGCCGAAAGAAGATAGTAAGGGTAAACCCACCCGGAAAAGAGTCATTCATGGTGTACGGGGACAAACGCAGAGTAAATTATGGAATCATCTCCCTGATGAAAGACAGAAAATGTTTGTCCAAGGGATGTGCATCATACTTGGCATTTGTTATCGATGCTACGAAGGAAAAGAAGGAGGTGCAGAGTATACCAGTGGTGTGTGATTATCCGGAAGTCTTTCCCGAAGATCTTCCCGGATTACCGCCTGATAGACAAGTAAAGTTCCGAATAGACTTGCTACCAGGAACGACACCAATAGCAAAAGCACTGTACTGATTAGCACTGACGGAGATGAAGGAGCTTATGACGCAACTTCAGGAGTTGTTGGACAACGGTTTTATCAGACCTAGTTCATCACCCTGGGGAGCTCCGGTGCTATTCGTAAAGAAGAAAGACGGAAGCATGAGAATGTGTATAGACTACCGAGAGCTGAACAAGGCAACGGTGAAGAACAAGTATCCATTGCCAAGGATTGATGACCTATTCGATCAGTTGCACGGTTCGAGCTATTTCTCAAAGATCGATCTCAGGTCAGGATATCATCAGCCAAAGGGAAGAGAGCAGGATCTTGAGAAGACTTCATTCAGAACAAGATATGGACACTACGAGTTCTTGGTTATGTCATTTGGACTAACCAATGCTCCAGCAGCGTTCATGGATTTGATTAATAGGGTTTGTAAACCATTTCTCGATAAATCCATGAT